TAATCTTCATTTTCAAACATATTTAAACTGAGTGTGCATTTCACTCACATTTCATAGCCTGCTGGCTCATGTTTACAACTACTAACACATGTTCATGCTCACACATTTTATCCACATGACAACACAAGACTGGAGATCAAATAAAATTAAAATCATTAAGAATGTTTAATTAATCTGACTTTAATTAAATCAAGTGTTAGTAAGACAAATTCAAACAGTACAGACAGATTGAAGACTGAGCTTCCTGAATTTTGATAGTGTTCACAGCAACTCTAGTGGAGTATTACTTTCCTATCACTGAAGGATTTAATTAAGAAGTTCTATCACAATATTCCCAAAGGCTATATCATATTGGCAAGTTATTTTCAATATAAACATATTTCAATAACATTTCTAAAGGCAGTCTCAATATTTTCTTTCTTGACTCCAGAATTCCTGCTTGATGATGAAAAGGAAATCTTTCTGAGGCTCTGATATGATTGAAAATGTTTTCAATTCCACCCATAAAATTTCCCAATAAGTATTTAAGTTAAATTTATTCTGGGAATCAATAAAATTCAAATTGATAATATTAGAAACATAGAATGAAAACTTATTAGCTGGACAAGACATTTCTCTGAGATCCCCAAACCTTCCTGCAATCAGGCTTCAACATTATATTGATATTTTCCAAATTCTACTTTGATGATGAGTATTAAAGTCACTGCAACTGATTTTGTTTCTAATAAACTAGCCTTGTTTTAAGAAGAACACCAATAATAATTTGTAAAATTTGTTTGCTGTTAACACTAAAGACAAGTATAAACTCTTCTCAAGCATCTTATGCTACTATGTTACCAGATTTATAACCCTGGCTCTTTTGCATTATGCCCCAATACTTTTTGCATCAAATTATGAACATTCTGAAGTAATCTGCAACATCTCAAAGTGGATAAAACCAGTGATTCACAGTTATAATCAATCTAATTACATTCAGTGACAGATTTAAACTAATTCACAATCCATAATATGAGATTTATAAAGATATCATAACATTACAAAGTCCACACATCTTTTTTCTAAAAAATAGAATTGTCAGGATCAAGTTTCTCATCTGAACTTGCACATAATTAACTATTGAACAAAAGGTTTTAAAAAAATGAAACCCAAATATTAGAATCAAATGTTGATCTGCAATATCTCAAACTGGTTAAGAGCAATGATTCACAGCATCAATCAGGTAAAAAAAATTCTTTCAGCCTTCAGCATCAGATTAAAAATGTTTGATATCGAAACCAGATGATGTAAGGTTATCAGTTAAGACTTTTTTCGACTAAAAATCAGAATGAAGTAGTAGTAAATTCATTTGTAATTGGTTGATGGTGGAAATTAGGGAATGAGTCACTTTGTAAATCTCTAACTTGACCCAACAGATTTATTTTACTTTCAGCAGTCTAACATTATTATCATAGTGTTGTGATGGATCTAAACATGAAACTTTATTCTGAATGAGTAACTACCATACCCCTCTAACCCCTCAAACTTGTGCACAATTGTATCTTCTGAATGCAGCTATTATTTATGATGCTACTAAGTACTATATACTGCTGCAATAAATAACCCTTTATCTGCTTCAATAAGATAAGAAACAAAAACATGGTTCTAATGGTCAGTTCCTACTGTGTGGCATACTGAACACACATTCCATACAGATCAATTATACAAAATATCATTTGTAAAACCATTTTCAAGGCCATCTCCAACTGTGAGTAAATATAAAATTTAAAGACATGTTCCATCTCCATTGATTATCTAGTGCAAGTATCCTTAATCAAGAATCATTTATGAAACCTTGATGAATTCTGGTCCTTTGTGTTAAGAGTAATATTGAATGAACATGCATTCCAGCCAAACCAAATACTTGTTCCTACTGTGAGGTGATGGTGGATAGCCAATGCACTGGTATACACATGCCATTTACAAGCTAGATTTTTTATATACCGTACTTTATTTTTTTGCTTTTGTCCTGATACAAGCCACAATCTTAAGAATTTTTTTTTTACATTCTGGATCAGAAGATTGACTATATCTGCAGCAATAGTAGTAGTGTGTGCTACTCATTATTTTTCAGGACAGACTCTTGATTGATATTTCTGCAAGTTATGATGCTTCCATCAACAACCTTTGAACTCATATCAACAACAATGTAGCACATTTAGAACATTTTGTTTGAAGATTTTATCTGTTATTTATTAATGAAGTGTGGCTAGGTCTAAAATTACTAAGTTGTTAAAGTAACACCTTTATAAAGTTTACTTTGTATGATCTTCACATATGTTGGTGCTTTTCATTAAAGGTTAACTATAATGTTCCTTCAGGGACCATCAAGCCTTGCAATCATCTGTAGATAGAGCAATATTGACTTAATGAGCGGATATGGTAATTCATATTTGCTTTCAGAGCAAAGATAAATTCCTGACACCATGTTCAATGTCTCTAGACTAATAGCATAGCAATAGCTTAACAAATCAGTGAATATTGCAATGTGTTCCTCTAAGACAATAACAATTTCTGGTTCTGAGGCCAATGTTTCTTACACATGTAGAATTGTGTCAAAATGAACATAATATCTTGTCATCATCTGTAAATGAAGCACAACACTCCAGAAGACAATTCTTCACAAATCATGTCTAACATCAAAACTAACACTTAATGCTGGATTTGAACATGCCTATTCAGGACAGTGGGAGAGTTGAGAAGAAAGTTGAACTGTTGTCTTCTTGGCAGTTAAGAACAGTGGGTATGAAACCGACATAAAAAAATTATACCACTGTTTATGCTTCTCAGAGTTGGCCCAGTGTGGGAGTCCAACCCCCTTCAATTACAATTTTTGTTTACTGTTAAAACTGTTGGTGTCGTGTCTTTTTTTGAATCTATATGTTACTTTGATTTTTTGATTTACAAAAAGAATTCCGTAGGACCACAACAATGGTTAAATTATTTGATGTTAGCATTCTTTTAATCATACTATCAAATTAAGAAGTGCTGATTTTGATAGATGAGGCACAGATGCATATCTGTAAATAACAGAAACCTTGTGTTAACACATCTTTAATTACTGCATTGATATTTGTTTCATCAAATCACCCACTAATGATGTAACAGTACATCAAAGAACAGTTATAATTTTTAGTATATACATACATATCATGCACCTATAACTATTCATAATTGCACACTTAATCTTTCTAATGATTCACCATAATTATGACTACAAGCCCGTATAAATATTTATCCTTCTTCATGTTCCAGACCTGTCCTGTTGGAATTACAAGGCAGAAGATCAAAGCAAAAGTTGATGAAATTGATCTAATAAAATCAACATTTTACACTCTCCTAAGGAGTTACATCACACAGTCCACTTATAAGTAATTTGGCCATAAATAATTAGCCTTAAGTATTACCAGATCTTCTTTGATATGATGTAACATCCATGTAAACCGCACAGGTGTATGTAAATTATTCCAAACTGGCCATTTTTTACAGGTTTGAAGTTACTTTACATTGTAAAAAACAATCTTGATCATTGTAGTATAGAGAACAGAACAGGACCTTAGTTACAGAAATATTACAATTTAATTATCAATTACTAAATATAACCGAATAAAAATCCACTTTTACAAATTGTTATTGATCTGTCTTTTATTTAGTAATGCATATGCTGTAGGAGCAAACTGTGATAATCCATCAAGAGGAGGTTATTCTGTTTTCTACTAATTATTCTGCTTAAATTTACATCAGTCATCATCAAACTGTGAGTTATAAGGGTCTTTTTGTTGGATTGGATTTTATCTGAATGACTGCACCTAATGGTTAAATGTTACATTGCAATTTCAAATTACGTTCCTGGTATATGTTGTGTTCTTTTTCTATGTTAAAGTTTGTTTTGGGCTAGTACAATATATAGTTTATCTCCATCCTCTTTTCCACAATAAATTGTTGTAGTATGTGTTCTGGTGAGTCTATCAGTTTGGCCAAAAGTAAGCTGTGAGGCTAGTAAATGAAACACAAGTCCATGAGTCTGGAGCGATGGTAACCAACAAACCAAGTGATCATCTTTTAGGCTGAGGAATCTTTTTAAGTGTAAATTTTTTTGTTTCCTATCATGTTGGTAAAATATTTTCCACAGCTTTACTGTTGGTGATCAAATACTTTCCTCATCTCTACTGTCAATGGGCAAATACTGTCCACACCTTCTCACTTGACCAATATAAAAACATTCACTTTCTGCATTAGCTAGTGATGGGTGAACATGACGATTTTTTTAAACTTGGTACGCAAGTTAATAAAGGAGTGTATAGGTCTTCATATTTTACATGTTTCAGTAGACAAAAGGATTTTCCAGTAACCAGATGAAATTCAAAGTCAAATTGACAATTATACCATCCTAAAGAATTTACCACTCTGTCTCTTTTCAAGTTGATGAGATGGAATCAAAATAATCACATATATAAATTGATATCAAATTCTTAAAAGTAAGCTGCTAATGATGATTCCAAAACTGGTACATTTACAATGAAATATATTGTCAAACCAATCTGTGCTTGCATCAGTTTGTAAGATTATGGACTAATGTTGTTGTATCAATAATGAAGATTCTATTATTCATTGAAACAGGTCTGTGTGTATAAAATACTATGTTATACAGCAAATATCCACTAACATATAGACTTCATATTTTAGACAATCTTACATTTTACTTCAATTAACAAAAATAATTTCTATTTAAATTGTACAGTATCAACCCAATTATAAAGTGTGGTGCACAGCTAGCTGTGTAATGTGCTAGAGTGCTGAAAACTGTGCTAGAATATCTGTGAAGCATATACTTGTAGGTGCAAATGTCTGAACATTTAATAACTTGATTTATTGGAATTGTGTTGTAGTTGTAAACACAAGTCTACTTTCAGCCATGCTATTTTCTACTTCTACTGACATGCTCAAGAAGTTGCTGTCCTTACCTTTTGTTGTTTACAGATTGAAACTAAAGATTGGACATCATGATTGATGTGACGTCCATCTTGAGAACAGACATAACAAACAGGTAATTTACATCCAACACAAAACATATTTAAAACCTCTTCAGAATGTTCTTTACATTTAACTTCTTTTCTTTTCTTTTTAGATTCTATAATATTCTGTCCCTGAGTGGGGTCCACAAGATTATGTTTAGCTAAAGATCCACGTGCTGGATGACATCCATCACGGCATGTGTCACAATAAAATACTTCACACTGTTCACACATTGTTGTAGCTATTTCTGCCTCATTAATACACAGTTCACAACGAATGTGTACCTTTTTAGTTTCCTTAGGATGAGTATATTTTTCAATGATGGCTTCTAAAACTTTGTTAATAGGCAGTGATAGAGCTCCAAAATCATCCAACAGTACAATTTTACTGCACATTGGACATCTTAGTCCATATGGACAACTTTGTAAATTCGACACATTGTAAATATTTGAGACATTAGGGGTACCCAGATAACTTCCAGGCCTGCTATTGCACACTACCCCACTATCTGCCTCACTGACCATGCTCAATTTATCAATTTCCGGCAGACTGTCACTGTCAGAATTTCCCTGACCAGAATTTGATACCTGGTCGTCTGCAACACTTCCGCCATGTTGTGGCACCAAGCTCTGCGACGGTTCCTGACCAGCCACGGCACAAGCAGTGCAGATTGAATGAGAACAGGGTAAAAGTAATGGTTTAGAATACCATCTCCTGCAAACTGGACACTTCAATTCCTCATCCATCGCCGAGCCTTGAGATCCACGTTTTTCGTTGATTTTCCCTCCAATTTTACAAGACGTTTGCTCGCCTAATGATAAGCTCGGTAATCTCGCTGCAAGTGAGAATCTCGCGGTATTTGATAATAATGGCTTCATCGGCAAGTGTCCGTCGACTAGTTCAACGCTATAGATCTCCATTTCCAGTTTTATTCAAGAAAAATCGTGCACTTCTTTCAACATACTTCGTAAACAAACACAGGGAGAGAGGACTAACCACAAGGTAAGGCACGTGCAGTTCGTGAGAATGCTGACAGCACAATAATGGTGTTGAAATGGGGGTGAGAAATCATTGTTCAGCGAAGTTTTATTGTGCAAATTTGATTGGTCAAATTTCTTTGTTTACAATCTGTCATTTTGAAAAGTGGGTGGAGTTTGATTTATTTGTATCGTAAAACCACGTGGGGAATTGCGGAAAATGTCAAATGGCCAAATTAAACCATAATAGAAAGATAAAAGTAGACCGTGTTTGTATTTTAGTCATCTAAATCTGATGTTACATCATTAGACTGTTTGGTTAGTATTTGATACAGCTGGGTTAGGGTTTATTAAAACTTTATGTAGTCTTTCATCTTTTAGTTATGTGTACAATGTAGGATTTGAAGGCTACTTATTGTCTAAGCAAATCAAAAAGTCATTAGCATTTTTTGATATTCTTAAAGAGAATTGGAAAATCAGTCTCAAAATAGTGATGATAGTCTTAGAATGTCTTTTATAAGTTTACATTAATAGTCTTAAGAAGTACTAAAACGCATGAAAATTGCATAATCCCTTCTAATATACCTGAAACTAGAAATTTCACTGTCTATTTTTATATATGTGTTTTTCTATATATGGCATAGTCTCACTAAAATTCAAGTCAAATTTTTATCTTTCAAACAAGAGTAATTCTGGATACACATGGATTTGAAGGCATAAATTTCGACGATGACCTGTGAACACTATTACTGATTATGTAAGCTAAAAAAATTCCTGTTTCTGAAACAAGGGTATGATTGGTCGAACGGATAGTGAAGGTCCTCCTTTAAGATGGATAGATGATCTTCAAGTTTTGGTGCTTACAGTGGTTATTTTCTTTCAAACATTATACTACCCCTGAAAGCAAGTATCAAAAAAAGTTCTGTAAAATATCTTCTGCAATATAAGCCTGTATAGTTTCCTTTACAATTCCTTTAATTGGACACATAATGCATCTAAAATGAAAGGTTAACACATTCCTTAAAAGTAAAAAGATAATCTTGTAATGAAATTCCATTAAAAGTTAAGAAATGAAATTTTTAGGCTATGTTTTTTTTCTTTATGCTTATCTGACTCGAAAGCCTTGATAAGATTGAAAAAAAGAAATTATCTAAACCAGATACCAGGAAAATGTCTGAAATTTTTGTTATTTTCTGAAAAAATAATGAAAAAGGTTGATAAGGTATATTAAATGATGTTTTGAAAGAAATGTGACCCATTATGTTGCCCTGGAGATAAAAAACAAAAATAGAAATATCGTTTAGACTTTCATTCCTGAGAAATCTTTTCGGTTCTGTTGTGAAAAGTTTATTTAAGGAATTTTCTCACAGTTTTTTCACTCCTGTTTAGTGAATTTAATGTTTGAAATGGTTTTCTTCATGAATATGCCTTATGTATACCCAAAAAAATGTTAGCAATATAAGAGATGCTGAAACCACAAACCATGTTGCAGAGTAGTATCAGGTGTCTAAGAAGAGTACGCATGCTCTGTTCTACATGTTATTTTAGCCCTTCACAGCTGTCAAATTAAGTTGCTTTTGAAATTGCTTGTATGAAGTAAACATTGTCTATTCCTGAAATCTTTCAGAGCAAGCTTAATAGTGTAAGTATTTTATACTAAGTTAGTACCATCTTATTCTGATAATATAGTCATTCATAACATAATTGAATATTTCTTCCATTAATGCTTGTCTTTGATCTGAAATTTCAGTGCCGGAGCCAATCAGTACGATGTTATTGTTGTGGGAGGAGGAATTGTTGGCATGGCAACAGCCCTCGAACTTATTACTCGCTACCCAAATTTATCATTTGCTGTGGTAGAAAAGGAAAATTCTCTAGGTTAGTTCTTAGGTTTAGTTCTTTGTAGATATGAAAAAATGTTGTTCTTTCATTCGTAAAATATGATCATGATCAGTCAAGAATAATAGATAAAAAAATTGAAACTATTCACGTTTGACATATATTGTGATCATTATCTGTCCTGTTCTTGTTGTGTACTGTCTCTAGATTCATACAGATATCTTTTCTTACCTTAACATTCAACCTTGACATTGTCCTCATTTTGTATTCAGCATTTCACCAGAGTGGAAGGAACAGTGGAGTGATACATGCTGGTATTTATTATACGCCAGGCTCGCTGAAAGCTAAACTTTGTGTTGAGGGTTTGAAACTGGCATATGAATACTGTGATAAACACAATGTACCTTATAATAAATGTGGAAAGGTAAGATTTTCATTTGTAGCTACAGCTTACATTTGTTGGCTTGCTGAAAATCTGGCATGCATTTTCACGAAAAGGTTATCCTTGAAACAATGTTAAAACCCTAGGACATCCTAAGTCCCAAGATGTTTTTTCAGAACACTTAGCCTGTTTGTTGTATAGTCCAAGCGAAATATTTTTGTTCATCAGGGCATGAATATAGGACCGGAATAATCTAAAATTTATGTAGCCTCTGAGAGATGTCAGCTAGGTAGATTCTGTAATCTATAATCTCCAATTAAGTCATAGGCCATTTTAAATAAATACTGTATAATTGCAAATATAGTGCGCACCATTGAGTAAATCTAGAAATATCTCTACAACCTTAAATTATGTGATGTACATGTAATGGTTAAATACTGTTTGTATTTGTAGCTGATAGTTGCAACGGAACCAGATGAAGTCAGTCGTCTGGAGAAACTATTTGAGAGGGGCAAGGAAAATGCTGTACCAGATTTAAAAATGGTAGGACCTGAAGGAATTAAAGAAATAGAACCAAATTGTGTGGTAAGTAACAAAACCATGAAGCCAGTAGACTTATGATGATCAATTTACAAAACTCAATCGGAAGGGATTGTCCCTTATATCAGGACAATAAACAGCCATTTTGAACCATTTTCAAAATCTTATAGAATGACAAAACCAGGTGTACATGTTGCTGAGCCCGACTGCAATTAGCTGATGAGGCATGAGTATCCCTTTAACTTAATGGTTCCTATATTTTTCAGGGTCTAAAAGCGATTCATTCTCCCCACACTGGTATAGTAGATTGGGGCGTAGTTACCAAACATTATGGGGAATCATTCAAAAAACATGGTGGAACTATTTACACTGGCTTTGAGGCTGACAAGTTTGACATGAAAACAGAGTCTACAGAATCTGATAGTCTAGATTATCCAGTCAGTATTAAAGGAAAACAACCAGTAAGACAAACTAAAAATATATCTGAACCTTTATTGAGCTATCAATTTGAGGATTATTTGCCTATAATTTACTTTCTTGAGTAGAAGCTACTTTGGTTGAGTAATGCAGCACAAGCATTAAATTTGAATGAAATGAAGTTTCATATCCTACTTTTTGGACTAACGAAGATAGGCAGTGTCATGCAGTGTGCAGCAAGGGAATTTTGACAGGATAGATATTCAAGAATCATCAGGATTTCACTTAAAATTAATTTATTCATAAGTAGCACAGGACAATAGTCAATTGATGCAAAGATAAGATACAGAACAAAAGTTTTGTTAATATTTCATTTCTCATTTCGACTTTACATTGATCTTTCAGAATCAGAATGTCAGTGGTAAATATGTTATAACATGTGCAGGATTACAAGCTGACCGAATAGCGGAGAAATCTGGTTGTAACCCTCAGCCAAAAGTAGTTCCATTCCGAGGGGAATACCTCATGTTAAAACCAGAGAAAAGTGATTTAGTTCGAGGCAATATTTATCCAGTAAGTTTGAAACCCTTTGAACACTCTGTTCATCAGTTGTTTTTCGTATTTTCATTGATGTCTCCATTGTGACCATTAAAAAATATCTTGAATGATTTTATTAATATTATATATTCTGTATCATTCTGGGATGATTTCAATGTTTTTTTCTTATTTCTGATCCTGCCATTTATATTTCAGGTCCCAGATCCACGATTTCCCTTTCTAGGTGTTCATTTTACCCCAAGGATGGATGGCAGTGTATGGTTGGGTCCGAATGCTGTTTTAGCGTTTAAACGAGAGGGGTATTCCTACACTGATTTCAGTGTGAAAGATTTATATGACGCCTTGGCTTATCGGTGAGTAAGCTCATTCTCCTAAGAGTCAAAGGTTCAATTTTGGCATTGTTTTCCATTTTCATTGATTTGTGATCTAATGTTGATAAAACGGTATGCATAAGAGTATGTAATTTTTTATCACAGATTTATTGCCCTTATACTGTCAAAGTATGTATTATTTGTTTATCTGTTTATGAGGTTTATGACAAGTTTAAAGTTCTGGTAGAACTATATTTTCAAGTGAGATTTCTTGACTGATAGTTGAATAGTTTAAGTATTCATTTCTAGGGGTCTACGTAAATTAGCTTTCAAACATCTACTATATGGTATGGGAGAAATGTATAAAGGAATATTCTATGGTGCTCAAGTTAAAAAATTACAGAAATTTGTTCCAAGTTTAAAAAGAGAAGATGTAATAAAGTAAGTGTTGTTAGATAGTCTGGACCTCAGAATTAAACAATTTCAGTCTTCTAATCATTATATCATTATAAATAATTTATTATATTCCAGAGGACCAAGTGGTGTGAGAGCTCAAGCGTTGGACAATGAGGGAAACTTAGTTGAAGATTTTGTATTTGACAGTGGAGAGGGTGATATAGGACATAATATATTACACATTCGTAATGCTCCCTCCCCAGCTGCTACTTCATCTCTTTCCATAGCCAAAATGGTGGCTGATAAGGCACAACAACAGTTTAATCTATGATGTTTATTTACTAGCTAATTTTATGGCGTAAAAGGTGGATGCGTAAACTTACTTGAGTTTGTTGAATACAAGGTTTCAATGTTCTACATTATGACAAAATTTTGTAGTGCTCTACTCTTATAACACACAGTGTAGAATAACAATTCCTCATCAGCGATAAATTGAAGCAAATCAGTATAAACATACTCATTGATTGAGTTTAGCCAGTGTTCAGTTGCACTTTTATAAACCAGTTTGTTTTTCTAGGGCAGACACTGCAATTTTATGATTAACAAAAATTAGTTGCATAACCACAGCTTTTCAACAATGTAGTAGCTCAACATTTATTCAATCTGTGATTTTTTTTGTATGTAAAGGTTTGACAGTCTATTATAATGCCCCTTTGTGCCTTATATCGGAGTATATTGTTTTATTTTGCTGAAATCTATATGAATGATTAATTAGTATTAACCAATCAATGATCTCTCTTTCTATATTTATCACTGTACAATATATATATGTGCAATAGAGGCAGTGCTTTATATGATCATCAAGATGAGTTGAAAGCGTAGTGTTAAAGAAATATAGTTGTCTTATTTATCTACAGGTGATTTTTTGTTAAAAAAATGTAGGAAAACCCTACATCAGATTGTTATTTTAAAAGGTGTTAAGGGTTGATGAAATTATGTCCATTAAGATGGTGTAATAAAGCCACACCCCTTTTATCAGCAGGGTAATCAAAGACAATTGTCCATCCTCACAGTTGAAAAATGTGAAATATTAATTTGAATACCATTATCTATAAACTATGATTTTTTGTTGATTTTTTATTGATTTATATTTGTTGATTAAAAATGGAAATAATTTCATTTTGTTTCTTTTACATGCTGCTGAAATACAGTTGAATACAATGGGACAACAATGTTTAGGCATGTCAAGAGCTCATTGAATCTGGGTGGATGAAGGTCTTTTCTGCAATAATGTCCTTGACCTTGAGGATAAAATAGGGGAATTTTTAGGAGCTTATCTACTGTGAGATAGGATATCATTCTGAAATTTCTGGAACAAAGCCTGTCTACTGTTGAAAACCAGGACAGTTAAAAGAATTGACGAGAGCTACCTGAGGGACTATGTGACCACACTATGTGTTGAACTATGACAATGACAGACTTTTAAGATGTCCAAAGCCATTCCTGCATGGTTTTCACTTTTGATTAGAAACTCAAGTATTTAATATTAAGAAATTCAAAGTCTTTTTTCAGCTACAATGATATAAGCATGAGTTTCTCCTAACTTCATATAATGATCTTCAATGAACAATAATTTATTTTTCTCATCTAAGATCTGTCCACTGTTTACTTCAATAGCTTTATAATTTATATTGTCATGTTTTGAAGGGGCTATGTATTTTACACTCTCATCACTAGATTTTGTCTCCTTTGAATCATATACACAAGTCACATTTTCACATGTATTCATAACTCTATCAGGTGCATTGTCATATTTATCAACAGTTTGTTCACATCCAGGAGTCAGATTTTTCATGCCACACTCTAAGATCATGTTATAAGGATTATCTAACACAGAAATAAAATTGCTCCCTGAATTTTCACAACTATGTTCATTTCCATTTTCTTCTGTATCAATTGGAGGTTCATTCCCAACCTCTAAATGAAGGTGTTCATATTTTTTAAAATGTTCAGGGAAAGACTTAAGAAGACTGACAACATAAGGTCGTAAACTAGAGCTGGTCAGGAGAACAAAACGTCCACCAGGTTGTAAGACTCTGAAATTAATGAAAATTAATTAACACTACAATGATGTAATGATAAGCATATCTTTATATAAACAAAACATCCTTTTAGATTAGTGGTAATTTATGATGCCGGTTCTAAAGATAAACCTGGGGGATGTCGTGGTTCAATAAATTACATGTTTGTTCCCAAACCTAAAAATCAGATATTGACAAAGCTTTACTGTGTACATAAGAGATCTCTCGAATACTGAAAATCAGAAGAAAGATATGCAACTGTCTGCACAATGCATGGCATATCTTCTTCATTGGGGCAATTAGATGCAGAAATGTGAATATACCCAAATAAACCTACCTTTGAGTCTCCTGAAGTAATTTATAACAAAACTGGTGAATATCACTGGCTATTTTATGTTTCTCACCAAATGGTGCATCACAGATGACTTTATCAACACTTCCAGATTTAAATGGTAGATCTGTAAAATATAGCAGACAGAAATTCACACACAAATTTCTTGAATAACACTTACAGATTAAGCCTTTAGAAAAATCCTTCAGAATATAAACCATAACATTAAAAACACAATTTCTCATGAGGCATAATTTTCTATAATCTCAGGAACAAAATAGATCCTCTGTTCTGTCAAAATCCCAAATACAGTTTTGATTCATTCATTCAGATATTGGTTCACATGTTACTGAGGTCCTCAAATCTATAATCACTTCCAAACACCTTTTATTTCTCGGATATAACAGGTAAATGCCCTCAAGAGCTCTTACCTAATATGTTATCATATAAGATGACTTACCTAAACCATTAGATAGCAATAAATTTATGTTGTTCTGACAAGCAACAAATTGAACATTAGCTTGAGCTGTTTTTAGTTGCTGGTGATTTCTATCTATACCAAAATAAACAGCGTTGGGCTAAAATGATACACATAACACCCGTATTAGTACCCAACAAATTCAAAATTCAGCTAACAATAAAGTCATTAAATCAAGAAAGCTAGTAATGGTACAACAGAAGACTACAATCTGGAATATAACATAGAGTTGGTGATGTCTTGTGTTTCTATAAACTGACAGCACAACAGTGGACTAGCCCCTCATAAAGAAATTTTCAGTTTTGTGAGGTGCAATTGGCATAGTTGAGTTTCAAAGTTCAGGAATTCGGGCTATTGAGTCTAACATGCCCACAAGTTTAGGAATTGTACAGAACAATACCTGCAGACATTTTACAGCTTCAATTAAAATAGTTGATTTCCCACACATTGGATCCAGTATGATGTCTCCAGGTTGGATCTGTGTTAAGTATCCCAGGATCCAAGCAACTGGTGATCTCAGACCACTGTGTAAGATATAACCTCTTTTAGATAGAGGCTCTCTGAAAAATGATCATATCAAATAAAGCTGTAGTCACTACAATGTGCTCACAATATGCTTCTCCAGTGTATTGCACACACAGTGTCATATCACCGTTGCACGGTTTTAGAAAAAGGCTCTCTGGACCATCTTTCAACTTTTTGGAGATGATTAACATTTTCTACCTGAGGGTTGGAGGTTGGTGGAAGGGGAATATTTTATATCTTGGTATAAATTATTGATTTGATGTGTGAAATTGGTTCAATATTAGCACATTTAAAAAAAAATACCTGGATAATGGAATACCAGCTACAACCATCTCATCATTGATATGTACACTGATCTACAATTATAAAATATAAAATAACATATCACACCAATTTTAATGAAATAAAAATAATTTATTGATAACAAATGAAGAATATTTTCCATTACCATCAAAACAACAAGGCAGGTCATCCATCCTTCTTCAAGATTTTAGGCACATTGAGAATTATCAAACCTAAATATCCAATACATTATACAGTTATAACTTACAGATTAATAACTAACAGCCTAATTGCCCTTATTGAACAACTACATGGTGAAAATCAGCAAAAGTATATCCCACTAAGGTATTAATGTAATTGTTGAAGAGATTATAAACAGCACAATTTACCTCAAATAATGGATGTTTAAGATCAATGTTCCATCCTGTAAGTTTAGCAATATGTTTTCCTAGTTCTATATTCAGTTCCTGTAATAAAATCAGACATTCTGTTCAGCTCAGGTGCTATTCTGTAAGATATTGGTTCAAGATATCTGTATACTTAGATAGTCCTATTGTCATTTATTCTGAAAGATTTTGGATGATAACTCATATTGTCCCTATTCTGACAAAACCAGGAAATTATCAGAAGGCATTTAAAGCTATCTATCTTGGAAGTTTTTAAGTGGCAATTAATTACACACATGTCTCTTGGATATGCAGAGTATTTGCTTTTGACTAACTACTGTGCTCAATGCATAAGATTATAGGCATAGGGTATACCTGTGCAGAAGTTAATTTTGAAAATTTTCCAGAAATTTTACAGGACACTCGGAAACTTTTCTTCTTTGATTCTGGATTTTCCAATTTCAATTTTTTAGTTGAAGGTGCATCAATGTTAACAGTGCTCTTGTTTTCAGGATGGTTGAGAGTTTGAAAATTGTCTGCTGCTCTCAAGAACCTGCTTTCCTTAACCAATCTTCTTTTCAAAGCATTCACAAACTGTCCTTTTCCTGAAAAGACAAAAATATGGGTCTGTGTGACTAGCTCCAAACTAAAAAGAATTATTTCTCCTTAAGTACACAAATTTATCAATTCATTAATGTCAATAATCCATGGTTTATGAAATTTATTTGCTATAAACTTGTTTTTACAATGGCAGAATTTTGGTATTATGTTTTTCATTATTATGCTGTTGACTCTCTGAAAGTGATGCCATGAAGTTGATAAGCTAAGTTGCAGAATGGCCTCAGGTTAATAATAATAATAAACTCTTTATTTTACATGGGTCAACATTCAGCACAGCCCTGGAGATTGTTTCATAAGCTCACCTTTTCCATATGGCAGTCGACTGGTCTTGAAGCAGTTTAATTCTATAAATAGTCTTTCAACTGTTTTTAATTTTAACAAACTGTTTATATCCTCAGTCTCATTGTTGCTGAAAAATATTTTTCCATCCGTTACTCTGTTAACCTGCAGTAGAAAAAATTACATATTTCTAAAGCATTTAATTTGTTTTATCAAATATTATGTAAGCCTAGGCTACTGGAATGCTTATGATATGCAAGAATCTATGAAACGTTTGCAGTGAATCACATTTCATTGCACACTGCATCAACTCTGATTATCATAGACGTTTCGTATCGTGTCGACAGCCCAAAACGAGACGCAGAGTGGTGCGTAAAATTACATTTTATTTCGTTTTATTAATTATTGCCAATAGGCTCATTAAAAATGGAAAATCTGTCACAAAAAAGAACAAGTCGTACCGATACCTTCAAATTCAAATCGGAAGAATAAACTTCTTTCAGTTCTTTTTCCACAAATTTCTCCGTCCCTCTTCCTGCAGAACAAAATAACTTCATTCTATCGCCATCCATTCTAAATAGACTTTTTTACTTTTACTTTCACTTTAGTAAACAACTTTCTATTTACGGTCCAAGGGAGAAAACTCTTTTTTATGGAGTTTTTAAATGGAGTATTCTCCCTTCCACAAATTAACAGCTGTTTAATAAAAAAAAAAATCGGATTTTGATTCCAATGAAATTTAAGGGCAGGACATTCTATCTTTTTTCATGATTTTGCAAAATAATTAAATTGCGACTGACAATTTGGAGCTCAAAATTTCTTGAAAGTGAAAAAGAATGAAATTAGATTTCCAGGAGGAGAAGCACCGCCATTCCAAAATAGCGCCATCTACCTGATGAATTCACACGGTATCACAACACTCGGTGCCGTAAATTGCTAATTTTCTAGGGATTCTATCAGAATTTTAATACCATGTTGTGAAATTCCTTTGAAGGTGTTGATTCTAGTTTCCGGGAATTTGTTATCTAGAATTTATATCTGGAACTGTCGTCTAGAAATTTTGGTGAAATATCTCTGAAATTCCTGAAAAACTGATCTCGAATTCCATCACATTTTGAAAATCCTATAGACATTTTGACAAGTTGAAATTTTAAAATTTACTAACCAGCGTTTTTTAGACTGATGGAATTAAAAATTTGTTGACTAGACAACACACTTTAGGAATTAATTGTGGAAATATTTATTGGAACCATTCTGGAAGTGTTTCTAAGGAAAAATAAACAGTTTTGGAGAAATTCTATCCATGCAAAAACAACATGACTTGTGTGAAGAAAATTGCAAGCGCCAAAAACAATCCAAATGCAGAAATATTTTATCAAATTTTGTTAATAAAAAATGAAAGACATGGCACGATTCCTGGTACTTTTCTGTGTAATTTTCAGCATTCCCCAAACTTTGTCAAAATGTGTTCATGATGATCTTCCGAAAGCGAAGAATTTGATACAAGACTTGAATTATGGTGACATAGACAGTGTTCGGGTAAAGCGAGCTCCAAGGGAACTGTACACACCTATTCGAATCCATCCAGTATTTGCGTTAAAAAGTTATGAATTGACTCAAGTGAATAAAACAGCAATTAAAAATGCTGTAAATCAAGCAACTTCCAAAATACAGAAAATATTATCAGGTAGGGAACATTTTGATATTTCAAGTCCGAGTGTTTCCTTGTAGAAACATTAGATATCACCTAATTGTGGGTTGTAGGCTTATTCCAGAACAGAGGGTGGTATTCTGAAGCCACAAGACATCACTTTATATGTGTTATATTCCAGAGGGTGGTCCAATGTTTAACTACCTTCGTTTATGGAGACTACATTCATCAGCTAATTCTAGGTTAAATATTCCAGAGGGTGTTTTGCCACTGTTAAACTATGGGCTGGAGAGCAATTCTCTGATCTATAATTTTAGCCCACGTGAAAACATGCAAAATTGGTCAAACAATGATAGTTGGCACATAGCTACAAATTAGTTTTAGTTCTTCTGACTTCTTGAGCTTAGGCTTATGTCATAGATTCATATTAGAAAGATAATGTGCAGTCTTTCCAAAAATTTTACTGCAAGAAGAGATTGGTTCAGGAATCTTGGAATTTTTTGTTTTTTCCAAATCATTTTGTCTTTATCGAAAAAAAAAATCTGCATCCTAGGTCTTCTTTATGTTGATAAAAATCGTACTTTATAAAACTTACGCTCAATATTTATTCAGGTTTTCTAGATCGATAGATAAGCTTTCAACCCAATGAAAAATCTACTTTACAATTGAATGTTTCAATGCAAACTAATTTTGTAAAACAAACAAGATGCTAATCTATGGATCCTTTCAGCTGTTCTGAGATAGTGACTTTAGGCTTGTTATCAGAAACATTGTACCCAGTAACTTAAAATATTATGATGATTGATCTTTTGTGTTACTGGTAATTAATATTTTAAGACTTGAAAGGAGACTTTTGACAAGCCTCTCTATTGAAATGGTTCTTTGAAAATCATGGGGCTTGGACCTTGCCAGAACTCCCAGATATGCTAAGATCATGAATGCTGATATTGTGTGACAGTTTATAATACCAGTGTTTATTATGCAGTGTTATTAACTCAATGTTACATGTTGTGTAAATGATTTAATCATTAGCATGTTAAAATAACAGTTCTAAGTGTTATTATTAACTCACTGAATGTGTGTTATATGAATGACATTAAACTGAATCTGACTGCTGCTGTCTGGCTCTCGATTGGGCTAATGCAGTAAGCAGTGAGGGAAATTTTGCAAGGACAGCAGCCAAACTAACACTTTTTCGATTTCCACACGGGATATTTGACAGTGATGAGTCTCGGTATGCCATATGACTGGTAGATACTGGTAGATATAAAAAACATTGCTATAATAGGATTGAATATAAATTGCTGGTATTGAAGTGCTAGGTTGATATTGAACGATCACCAGGGCTGATATGAGATTGTTATAATGACCTGCTATTGTTATCAGACCACTCCTAATGACTGATTATAGCCTATCAATTTCAGTTCGTTTTACGGCTGTAATTAGCTTTTATACTGGTACCATTAACTTGACTGGTATATTAGACCTTGGAATAAATTTACCTGATACATTCCATTATATGCTTTTGGACTCTCCGAATGAAATGCGTGGCTGATAAAAATAGTATGTACAAACCTTAATTAGCTATCATTTCTCTGAAAGGAGTTCAAACCCAAATGCAGACTCTCTGCAAATGATTTCATACCTACGTCACAGGAGTACAATGTTTCAAAAGTAAATGTATCTAAGTTGATTCTCTGAAAGTTATACTATGATATGATTCTCTGAAAGATATACTATGATATGATTCTCTGAAAGTTATGCTATGATTCTCTGAAAGTTATGCTATGATTCTCTGAAAGTTATACTATGATATGATTCTCTGAAAGTTATACTATGATTCTCTGAAAGTTATGCAATGATTCTCTGAAAGATATACCGTACTATGATATGATTCTCTGAAAGATATACTATGATTCTCTGAAAGTTATGCTATGATTCTCTGAAAGTTATACTATGATATGATTCTCTGAAAGTTATGCTATGATTCTCTGAAAGATATGCTAGGATAGCATTTTACTCCCCTTGGTCCATTTCCTGTCCTAATGTCATATTGTATTTCTCATATTATGTCAGTGGCTTGGTAATTGATCTTGCTAGGCTCCCCTGAATAAATTCCACTGAGTGTCATATTAATTCTACTAAAAGCTGATAATACAGGAATTGTATTACATTGACAATAGTTTCTAGTATTTGTTTTTCTAAAAGCTTTTTGGTTTATCATATTTCTTGCTCTCAGGTTATTGATCTGGATTGAAGGGCGGAATATTTGAGGGGTTCTGGGGCAATGTATGATGTAAGGGTTTGGTGAAAGATGGGGGCAAGTTTCTGACACTAGGCTCTGGGAAAAGGTATAAGGTTATGGGAAATGATTAATAGGGATCAGGTGCCTGTATAAGGGGTTGTGGAAGAGCAGCGTCATATTTTCAAGCCTTGCAAAGATTTAAGCAAAAGAATGGTAATTTGCAGCCCATGATAAGATAAATCAGAGATTTTTGAATGTAAACTTTACTTT